ACTTTTCATTTCGACTTTGACCTCCAAAGTCGAAACATTTCGACTTTTTGGGTTTTCATTTCGACTTCATGTATAGTTTCTGTACCTGGAATGTTTAAAGATTCTTTATACAAAAGTAGCAGGGTAGAACTTAAGCTCATGACAGATATAAATAAGTATATGATGGTAGAGAATGACATTCGTGAAGGTATGACAATGACAAGTCATCGATATAACAAAGCAAATAATCCACAATATCCTGATTATAATCCTAGCAAGCCAAATTCTTGGATCATGTATGAGGATATAAATGCTTTATATTCAGGTGCAATGACCCAATACATGCCTATAGAAATCTTAGATAAAGTGAATCCAAAGGAAGTACCAGATGTCCAAAGTATCGCACCTGATGCTGAAATTGATTATATACTTAAAGTTGACTTAGAAGTTTTAGTATACTTACATGACTTCTTTGCAGATTACCCTTTAGCATTAGAAAAGCAGGTAGTACCAAAAAAACTGGCTTAGCTTATATAATGAAAGATTAGTATATAACAAGAAAGCTGAAAATAGAAAATATGCATCTAAAAAGAAGTTAATTCAGACCCTTTATTCTAAGAAGAATTATGTGATACATATCGAGCTCTCCAAACATATATAATGTTTGGAATGAAAATTACAAAGATTCATGGTGCTCTAAAGTTCTGACAGTCTCCTTGAATAAAAAACTATATTGAAGAATATATTCGCAAGCGTAAAATAGCTAAAGCTAATAGAGATGAGTTTGGAATTATGTATTATAAGGTAAAAAATACAAGTATATGAGAGTAGAGCTACTTCGTACAAATGAGAATAAAAAAATTAGGTGTCTAGCAAGTTCACTATTATGTAGACTTTAAAGCTTTCGAAGGTAGTATAATAGCTATATACATGCTAAAAAGTACAGTGACTCTAAACAAATCAGTTTATGTAAGGCAGGCGATTCTTTACATTAGCAATGCTATGATGTTTAACTTTTGTATTGTTACATAAAGCCTCGCTATGAAGACAAGGTCCGTCTACTTTTCATAGGAAGACTTTCATGTGATTGGCCAGTCAGGTTACACAAATTTTGAAATTGATATTGTAAATATTTATATAT